GAGAAAGAACACATGGAGTTCTCTCTGATTTCTGGGTGAAATAGCAAACATTTATTTTTATAATTGTTTCTGTAACGTAATAAAAAGCCCAATGGCAAGAATAACCAATGTTTATCTTTTAACCAGTAAATATTAGATTATCTTATCAATTTGATTTTAGTGTGTGGAATGCTGCTGTGTATAAATTGTTCTGTTTACTAAATTACAACAGTGACTACATTTTTAAAGTACTTAATTGTGTGAGGAGCATTTCAATCAGACAATGTTAAAAGCAACTTGTGGTTTTGCTGTTTCCTTTTGTTAATGCTTAGCTGTTTTAATCTGGTAGGATAATGCAAGTAGAACTTTAAGATGAGTGTTTTAAGTGTTTGGTATACAATAAAGTGATGGTCAGTTTCATGAGTGATCCTAATTAAAATATATTATAGGCAGAGACAGCCAAAAGGCTTTGCTGATGAATACTGTACTGGCAGATGCTAGTTTCCTCTGAACTACAGAAATAAATACTTGCCCAATGAAAACTAGAGATGTGGAAAGCTATGGATCTGTACACTGCAAGAAAAGGACAATTGAATCTTAAATATTGTCAATTTAATGTCACAACAAAAATTGCAAATTGTCACATAGCAAAGTTGAGGAATATGAGAAGGTACAAAGTGCATGTGTTAGCACATGCTTTAGAATTTGATAGAGTGTGGTCCATTTAGGAAAGTTTGAAAGTATGACAGCTGTAATTTATGACTAATTAACAGTTATTTGTTATATTTGCTGCTAAGTGTTTTGTTATTACCAATAGCTATTGTATAGTTAATCTTCTATGAACCTGTGAATAGTGCTGTGGATCATTATTTTGAGAAGTAGCTTTCTTTTTATCTCTGGGATGTATTTGAATTGCTGAAATTGCTGTTGAATGACAGACAAATGCCTGACTGATCACTCCTTTCTTCCTTTGAAAAATTCTTTGAGATTTTACATCCATCTGAATATGCAGACAGGATCTTTGTTGCAATGTTATCTGAAAAATGGTATCTTTCACACTGTATTGCTCTTGGTACTGCTCTTGGAATGTCAGTGTACGTTGGTTTCTGGAGTGGGGCTTGAACTTACAACATTTGATTTTGAAGGTGCTACCACTGAGGCAAATTGTTGAGTTTATTCTTGTCTCCTTTAGATAGTTAATGGTACCTGTTAGCATGGCTCACTTTGCAGCAGTCTCATTGCTGAGCCATAGTTGATGAGTCTAAGGACATTTTAGGCTTGAACATATAAGTTGGTGTCCAACTGCTATGGAAAGAAAGATCTTATATTTATTTAGTCCCTCTCAATCCCTCAGGATGTCTCAAAGCATTTCAGTTACCTTTGAGTTTAGTCATAACATAATGTTGTGTACCTTTCATATCTACTTCAAACTACCAACATGGGAATGCAACAAATAAATTCTCACAGAGCTTGTTATTCATGTAATTTTCTGTTTGGGGCTTTGCACAATATGACTGTTAGATTTGCTGGCAGAACAACAAGTACTTCCATGGATATAAGGGTAAGTGTGTTGAGACAGATGAGGCTAATATAATTAAAAGTATTTTTTAACATTATCAGTTCTCTGCCCCAACAAAAGTATTGTTGCATTCATTTCAAACTAATTTTTTTGTATGTTTTCTTTTCACCCCCACAGCTCTTATAACTAATCATAAGAACATCCATGGCAATGTGCCTGCAGGTACTGAACCTAATAATCTACACATGCAAGGACAATGGACTAGTAACAATCATAAAAACACATCTGTCAGTTCGAAGAACATTCCAGCACATCAGGGGTCAGAACCTAGCAGCTCATGGCGGACAAAGTACTCACTGGTCAATAAGAAACCCATCAACACATGTGGTGAGGCACCTGCTAATGAATCTCGAAGTGAGATAATGCCTGCTAATAGACATAAGTTAAGCACTGTTGGCAAATATGTATTGGGGGCAAGTGGATCAGAAGGAGGTAGCTTAAGGGGCAAGTCCTCCAGATTAGTTCAAACAAATCCAAAAGCACAGTCTTTACTGGCTCTGAATTCTGAGCTGGAATTGAAACACAATAAGCTATTAGCACTGAAGGAAAAGTTGCACAAAGTGAAAATGGCAAGGACAATGGACAGAATAGGTGCCGTTACATCTCTCTCTGCAGAAAGGCCTACATTGAAAAGTATGGGGAAGCAGGGTGAAGAAGGACAAGTGTGTAAAACAGCAGAACAAATTAGTGTTGAAGTAACAGGAAAAACCGAGGTGAGGATTCCTCTCAGCTGTCAAAGAGCAAAGCATGGATTGACAAAAATCCAACCTGTTGGGCCAAGTTACTGTGCTAGTTCTGTTCCGGAGGCATCAATATGCATGCTTCCAAAAGTTTCTGTAAAGAGTAAAACCCATTGCATGGATGGTGATACAGTCGGGGGATTTGTGGGTGAATTCCAGCGAGTTGTTGAGTCAAGTGATAATGCCCACACCGGTCCTGAACCATCAACAGGCAAGTCACCGAAACCATCTCTAATGCATAAAATTGCTGAGTTGGACAAACGTGCCAAGAATTATTGTATAACCTTTGGAAAACAGCAGAATATTTTGAATTCTGCAGATCAAATGCCATGCAATTCTTCCCCAATTAAAAAATCTAAATACACATGGCAAAAAAACAATATTGGTACAGATTCTGGATGTCAGAATGAGACTTTGACGACAGTGAGGAAGTCAGTTTCAATTAGTGTTTCCCAGGTTCAAACACATGTCATCGAAGGATCTTTGAAATCAAAAGCTCCACTTGCACACAAAGTACCGAAGAAGCAAAGGAATAACGCTCCTGTTTGCAGCAGAGTGTGCAAGGGAAGAAAAGCAAAGTATGTTTGGGTTTCAAACACTGCCAGATCAAGCCAAGCTTCTAACCAAATGACACTGAAGTCTATCTCACCAAAGTTGATTAAAAGTGCCACTCGGTGTGTTGCTATGGGAGATGATGGTGCAGCACCCAATCCAAGCCTGGAGCTCAGATGTTCAGGAAAGCTGAAAAAGACCGGGTGCTCTCACAAGAGAGGAGCATTGTCAAACAAGTACAACTGGAAAGCAGTGGAGACTGTTTCTCCTTCAAAGTCTCTCTATCAGTGGGAGTCACAGCACTCATACCAGTCAGAGTCTGCAGTACATCGGATACGATCTATAGCGCCAAAGAAGGCTGAGTCTGGTGCTGACATCCCCAAAAAGACATTGTGTGGGCCTGGGTCTTCTCATTACAAAGTGAAGAGCAAAACTAAAATTATCAGAAGAAGTGGAAGTTTGAGGTGAGTCTGTATATTTGAACTCCTAACAGTTTTATTGTTGCAAATTTGAAAATAAAGTATCATCATGTGAAGCATCTCGAGACAATTTAGTACATTAGCAGTTATGTATAAATGCAAGTTGTTTCCATTTATCCATCAGATGTGGGCTTCACTGGCTGGACCAGTGTACAGAGTACTCCAACTGGGTCCTAACCAAACTTTTGTACAGTTCCAGCATAATCTTTCTGCTCTTACAATCAAAGCCACAATTGATAAAGGCAAGTGTTCTGTATGCCTTCTTACCTTCCCTATTATCCTGTTCTGCTGTCTTCAGGATCTGTAAACAAGCATCCCAAGATATTCCTGTTTCTCTGAGCTTCCTAGTGTCTTGTCATTTTGTACTCTCTTGTTATTTCTTTCAAGATACATTACCTCACACTTTCTGCAGGGTTAAGTTCCATCTGCCACTAATCTATCTGACCAATCCATCTATGTTCTACTGGTACCTAAGACCACTTTCCTCATTGTCAACCACCATCTTAATGTTGCTGTTGAGGAAATGGCGATGAACTGCCTCCTTGAGCTGCTGTGGTCCACTTGGTGTAGGTTCACCTACAGTGCTGTTGGGAGAGGGTTCTTGGGTTTTAACCAGTGACACTGAAGGAACGTCTGTATATTTCCAAGTCAGAATGGTGAGTGGCTTGGAGAAGAATTGCAGGTGATTGTGTTCTGTTTCTGCTGCTCTTGTTCTTCTAGGTTCAAGTGGTTGTGGGTTTAAAAGGTGCTGCATAAGGTGCCTTAATGAATATCTGCAGTGCATCTTGTAGATGGTGCACTCTGCTTGTATTGGCCAATGCTGGAGGAAATGAATATTTGTGGGTGTTGTGCCAATTGAGCAGGCTCCTTTGTCCTGGATGGTGTCACATTTCAAGTTGTTGTAGCTTCGCTGATTAGAGCGAGTTGAGTGCATTACATCACACTTCTAACATCTACCTCGTATGTGGTTGATAGGCTTTGAGAAGTCAGGACATAGGTTACTTGCTGCAGGACTTTAAGTAACTCATTTGCTATTGTAGCTACAGCATTTATATAGCTGGTCTAGTTAATTTCTGGTCATTGGTGATCCCAGGATGTTGATAGTGGAGTATTCAGTAATGATAGTGCCAAGGAATGTCAGGGTGATGAGTAGATTCTCTCACTGGAGATGGTCACTGCCTGCTTTTTGTGTTTAGTGAATGTTACTGGCTATTTGTCAGGCCAACCCTGTATATTCTCTTGGTTTTGCTGCATGTAGCTATGGGCTATTTCAATATTCGAGGAGCTGCAAAAGATGTTGAACATAGTGCAACCATCAGCAAACATCTCCACTTCTGACCTTATGATGTAGGGAAAATCATTGTTGTAGCAGCTAAAGGTATTTGGACTGGGGATATTACTCTGGAAAGCTAGTTTGGAGCTGTTGTGGCACAGAGGTCATTTCCTAATCTGTGAGCGAGGAGGACTGGGTTTAAGTACCACCTACTCCGAGGATATGTCATAATATCTCTGAACAGGATGGAAAGCAGTGAAGACTGGTTTCGCTTGGAAGTCACAGGACTGACTGGGCGAGCTGCTGTTATAGTTCAAAGCCCATGAGTTTACATGCATTCTAATAGCTAATTGGGGTTTTAGATAGAAGTAACAAAACAAAATAAAATGCATTTTTGTCAAAAAGATAGTTTTAAATTGTTTAGATGAGAGTTTCTAGCCATGAGAATATCTGCCTTTTAAATAAATTTAGTGCTGCTGGCTCTGACTGCAGTTTTTTTCCAGAAAATATTGGTGAGGACACTTCTTCCTCAAGGTGCACAATTCAAATTAACGGATGTCTTTAAATTACAGGGATAAACGGTTTTTATATGTGAATTTAGACATTTAATTTCATCTGTATTACTGGGGAAAGATATTGTTCTCTGTGGGCTCTTTGGCATTATATTAGCATTGTTGCAATGCTCGTCCTTAACTTCCTAAGGTGCTAGTCAGTTGCCTTAGTGAACCACTAAAATCCATGTACACTACAGTGCTTTTTTTAAAAATCCACTCATGGCATGTTGATCTCACTGGATTGGTTATTGCCCAAGCCTGGTTGCCCTTGAAGGTGTTGGTGAGCTGCACTCTTGAACTGCTGCAACCAATTCACTATAAATATACCCAGAAAGACAAAGGATCTGGTGTGCAATGGTAATGTCCCTAACTGTAATCCAGGAGGCCTGCGTTCAAGTTCCACTTGCTCCATCCCTGAACAGGTTGATTTTAAAAAAGAATACCCACAATGAGATTAGGAAGGCAGTCACCAGAATTTGACCCAGTGATATTTTCCAAGTCAGGATGGTGAGTGGCTTGGAGGGCAACTTGCAGATTCATGTTTTAAAACAGTTTTCGCCCGTAATTTAAAGATATTCAATAATTTGAATTCTGCAACTTAAGAAGCAACAGCATATTTACCAACATGTATTTACTGCCCTTGTCCTTCTAGATGGTAGTGTTTCTGACTTTGGAAGGTATTGTCTTCGGAGACTTGGGTCAGTTTCTGCAATGCGTCTTGTAGATGGAATACATTGCTGCTACTGAGCGTCAACGGTGAAGGGAATGACTATTAGAATGGTGCCAATCAAGTGTGTTGCTTTGACCTGGATGGTTTCAAGCTTCTTGAGTGCTGTTGGAGCTGCACTGATCCTGACAGGTGGGGAGTATTTCATTGCACTCATGCCTTGTTTCTTTCGACTTAATTTGAGGAGTTTGGAAGTGAGTTATTGATTGCAGAATCCTTAGCCTCTGACCTGCTCTTGTAGCTACAGTAGTTATACGCTATTCCAGTTCACTGTCTGGTCAGTGGTAACTTTCGGGATGTTTATTGTAGGGGATTCAACGATGGTAATCCCATTGAATGTCAAAAGGAAATTCTTTGATTCTATCTTTTGTTGATGGTCATTACCTTGCATTTGTATGCTGTAAGTATTAGGGAGGGACTCACATGAATTTGACCCAGCAATCGCAAATGAACAGCGATATAGTTCTTAATGGGATACTATGTGATTTGCAACTGAGCTTGCATGTTGTTGCAGCCCCTTGCACCTGCTGCTTTTGTACTTCAGGTTGGTGTTGGTCTTGGGTTTGGAAAGTGGTGTTTGATTTGTTGTTGAGCGTCTTGGTGCTGCTGTGCAGTGTTGAATTCACTGGAGGGAGTAAATCCCTATAGCAGTGGATGTCATGATTGTTTAAGCAGGTTGTTGCTTTGTTCTATACAATGTTTTGGTTTTTGAATGCTGTTGAAACTGTCATTTAGGCAAGTAATAATTTTATGCTTTGTAGATGAGAGGTGAGTTATTCAATATTGAACATCTCCATGGGCTTTAATCTGCCATTCAAAATGGAACTATTGTGAACTGTCTTCTGACCAGTCATCTTTATATGGACAGTTTTCTTTCCTAAGTCTGTTGCTGGCGTGTCAAAGTTCATTTGTGTTTCACCAACATTTCCAGTGTAGGTCAATTGATATGCATGTGTCAAATTAATGTCAAATGATTATTTAGTCAAATGATTATTTAGTCAAATGATTATTTAGTCAAATTTGATGAATTTATTGTTAAGTGAAAGTGGCAGTCATTTTTTTTTTGTCATGTACCTCAGTACTAAATTGCAACTTTTTGTGAAGCTTGTGGACTATCTGGCACCGGCCTGGAATCTGAAACCTGTCTTTGCTGTATTTGAGGACCAAGGGTTAGATGACTTCCCAGGTGATAATGACTATTTTCCTAATGTTCGTTAGCCTATTCTATACTTTAAGTTGACCTGAATACTTGTTATTCTTTCTCAAACATATCATGATAGATCATGTGGTGTCCTTTTGTTTTAGCAAAATTTATTTAAGGGATTGGATATCACTGGCTGGGCCAACACTTGTTGCCCATCCCTCTTGTCCCCGAGAAGGTGGTTGTGAACTGCTTTCTTGAACTACTTCACTTCATAGGACAGTAGATAAACCCACTGTGCTATTAGGAAGGTAGTTCCAGACCCAGTGACAGTATATTCTCAGTAAGGATGGTGTGTTTTGGAGGCAAACTTGCAGGTGGCGCTGTTCCCATATATCTATGGTCTTATCCTTTTTGCTTGTTGAAGTTGTGCGATTGGGAAATGCTGTTGAAGAAGGCCTGATGAGTTACTCCAATGTTTCCTATAGATAGTACACTCTGCCACTGCATCACTGGTGGAAGGATTGACGGGGCTGCTTTGTCCTGGATGAATTTAAGCTTCTTAAGCATTCTTGCAGCTGCTCTTGTCCCGCGGAGAATATTCAATCACTGTCTCCTGACTTGTGCCTTGTAGATGGTGATGGGCTTTGGGGAAACAGGAGATGAAATACTTGCTGCAAAGTTCCCAACCTCTGACCTGCTTTTGATAGTCACATATTTATATGGCAGAACATAGACTCAGGAGTGTGTGTACAGCCTTTTACCAACACTGTTCCCATAACAAAAACAGAAAGTGTTGGAGAATCTCAGCAGATCTGACTGCAGTTGTACAGGGCCCTGGTAAGACCACAGTTGGAGTATTGTGCAGTTTTAGTCTCATTATCTGAGGAAAGATGTTCTGGCTACAGAGGGAGTGCAACAGAAGTTTACCAGACTTAGTCCTGGGTGGCAGGACTGACGTATGAAGGATCAGTTACGACTGTATTCACTGGCATTTAGGAGAATGAGTAGAGGGGAAATCTCATAGAAACCTATAAAATTCTAACAGCCCGAGACAATAAACTAATAAAGAATGTTTCTAATGATCAGGAAATCCAGAAAGTGAAAATCAAATTTTCTTCACCCATAGAGTGGTGAGTCCGTGGAATTGTCTGCCACAGAAAGCAGTTGTGGCCAAAATAGTTATCAAAGGTTATGAGGAGAAAGTGGGAACTGGGTACTGAGTTGCATGATAAGCATGATAATATTGAATGGTAGAGTAGGCTCAATGGGCCAAATGGCCCACTCCTG